TGAAAACGAGAAATGTAATATTTTAACAGAATTTTGACAACGCGAAGGATTAAAAATTTTATAGTAACAATCATTCAATCGGACGATGAATAAAGCCAGAGAAAATTAATTTTACTCTGAAATCTCGGATAAAACTCGATAGGAGAAAATCGTATGTACCTTTATATATTTCGAAATATTTTATTGAATCGTGCACAATTCGCACAATATATCGATTAACGTTCCTTAATAACTGACATAATAGACGCTGCTAGCTTCAGTAATGTGAACTTCTTCCACGAAATTGCTAGCAGAACCATGCTGCTCATAAGTTCTCGTTAAACTCTCTCTAGATATCGCTTTTTTCCGTTTTCTTTCTTTTAGCCTGGCAAAACGACATCACCAATTTTCTCTCGCCTTTTCGATGCTTCGAAAGGAGGTACACACCCTAGACAAGAAAACTTTTCGGCTAATGAGAAACGGACCGCGAAGCTGTCCGTAGGAAATTAACCGTAGAAAACTTGAATTTTCATCGTAAATTCATTCTAAGAATTAAGGGGATTAAATCTTAATTGCGACTAGATGAAAAATGGCATAAAATATCTGCGCGCAATAATTTACAAATTATCACGTAGCTCTTCAGAGAGAATTAAGAGCAATTTCAGATTTTTTTAAATTAATATTAACATTAACGCGAGGTTTTTTAGTAAACGGAAGAACTGAGAAAAGTTTGGAAACAAGTTAGACAGATTTTATTACTGTATATTGTAAAAGATATATTTCTATTTTTATTGAATTTAAAAGATAAAAAAGCTACGCGGTTAAAATATATCCTATTGAAAATAATAATAAATATTGTGTGAAATGTTGAAAAATCGGAGATAACAACTTATACAAAATCAAATACTAGAAACACAAAGATGCTCCTTGCTGTTTGGTAATGTGATAATTAAGCAAAGTCCTGGCAAGCGAATTTCACAGTCGCTGAAAGAGCGGCTTATTAAACCGAACGTTTCGCCATTTGCATATTTAAATTTCCATTTCCGCGGAGCTCTTGCCCGGGCAGAACCATCAGGTTAGATAGGAAAACCGCGAGAAGCGACGTTTTATCTCACTTCGTACCTCTTATCACCACAGGTGCATTGATCTCTCTGCTCCTCACCGAACTGCCTCTTGTTTACTTTCAAATCTATGAGAATCAACCTTTAGCTTGTTGAATGGTATCATTCAAGATTTTCTTTGTTCAATAATCTTTAGTGAGATTATCAAAATAAAAATATAACGCCAACAATTTCAATGCAATTATTTTTAAATGTAAATAGATAAATAGATAAAAATTATCTTTAGACTTTATAAATAGTTTAACTCAGCTTTATAAATAAATACTACTTACGCAACTATTTTCCTTTATTTCAAATATTTTCTATTACAATTTAGTAAAACAGAGGTTTTTATTTTACTGATAAACGGCTTATCGACTTTTCCTGTAACTTCGAATAATTTTAGTTGCTTACAAGATTGAAACTTTTTTTTATACAGTAGTTCTGTTATATATATATATATATATCTCTCAACCGTAAAATTAATTAAATCATTCGTTAGGGGAAATGGCCCTCCGTTATTCAGTGAGCCGCACCAAGCTGTTGAAGGTCGCTTAATTGAATATTCAAAAAACAATATGTACCGTGGCGGAGATAACGACCACTTTAAATGATTGGTCCACCGCGGTAATTACAGTCGCCCTCGGGTGTTTAAATTAATAATTAATAACCACCGACGCGTTGTACCTTTGTTAACTAACGCGATCGTAATCGCTAATTATTTCGACTCTGTGACTGCTAATTCAATAAAATTCAGAATTAGCTCGTTTTAACTGTTTAAGCTGTCGGAAATATATTTTCTGAAACGGCATAAAAAGCAGCGGAAAAGGCGACAATATCTCTTTATCTATCGTTTTGTAAAAAAAAGCCTATGACAATTATTTCGCGTCCCGCTCACTAAAAAGAAAATATTTGACAACAAAATAATTGCGTTAAAATAAGAGACACGTACATTCTGCGTGAATCCAATAGGAATAAATATGCGCTACCAATATCGAATTATTATTTCTTGTATTGCCTGCTAATTGAATAAACGTTTCTTTCACTACCTTTTTCCTTTGATCAATTTATCAGATATAAAATGTAATCGTTTAGATCGACTGTTTTATTCCACTTAATAAAGTGACAACGTACTTTTATAAATAATATGCAACGTATTTATGATCATTCGACAGGTTTATATTACGAGATGATTAATAAAATTATGATTATGTATTCAAATGTTTTTATCATTCGAGACAATCGTTTCGTATGATACTTATGATATCAATGTGACGATTATCTACCGATTTTCTCTCTGAACAATTCTCGTTGCTCTAAATCAAGGACACCTGTTCGTAAGCACATCGTATAGCACACTTGTGCTGGTGTGGTGGCACCTTTATCCAAGCCGTTAGTTACGGACGCGACTCGCGGTGTGTCACTAACAACAGGCACCCACGAAGTTTGCCCACCTGTCCTGATAATGTCGGTTAATATCATGTAAATTGTAATTAATATTCATGGGGTTAATTCGCTACCGCGGTCGGCCCGACGCCGCTGCCGCCGCCAGGACGAAGTTTTAGCGAAAATTTACGGTCACCGCGAAACATATTTCGGACGTACCGCAGGTACTGTTTAGTTACGGCCCTACGGCCCGATTTCATTCGAATAAATCACGTCGATCTTCAAGACGGACTTTAACAAAATTATCAATTTGTTGCTTGGCGTAATTGCATAGAGTCATACATAAGCGTTAAATCACGCTAAAATAATAAAGAAGTAAAAAAAGTAGACAAAAATGAGTAAAAAAATGCGGCGCAAATAAAATATATGTAATGTTGCTAAAATATCTCTGATAAAATGTAGAATTTCATCAACAACCGGCAATGACGTTATTGTTATTCATATTGTGTACGACAAAATATTAAACTTAATAGCGGTCATTTAAATTCTATGAACATATTTGCCTTGATGAGAAGAAAACTCTCTAACGTGATTGAGATCGAAAGAACGTTCTGTTTTAATGAAATAGTATAATTGAAAACTTCCCAGCGGGGAGTTTCAGAATTCCCGCGTGACGTAAGAACGGCGACGGGGCAACGTATTAATTTCCGGTAACGCATTTTCCGATGATTAAATTTCCGAACTACGTCGCCCGCGCGCTCTTTTCGCCGTAGACTATTACGGTCAACTCGCGCAACAAATTAGGCACAGCGCAATTAATTAAACAACACGTAACACGTACCGTAGTACTTCGCGTAGACAAGCGGACGCGAACGCCTCTCTCTTCCCTCCCTCTTCTCCCCCCTCTGTGAAATTGCATTTGCGACGTAGACGGAAAATAATTTGCAACGTTAACAAGAATTCGGAATAGAGGGTCATTAGCATAGCTTGGACGCACATATAGCGTACACGTACGTATGCATTAGTGTGGTTGTTCTTCTTCGTTTAAGGGAGATGTTTACATATAATAGCAGCGCGTTTAACTTATGTTAGTACCGTAATTAAAATAATGGCGCGCGATGCAAATTACATGAGGCATTGCGTTATAACATTACTTGAGAAATGCTCCTCGCAACACCATTGCATTACGTATTTCACTCAGAGCGAGAGAGCACTCTCTCCGGCCTCGGATAAAACGTTCTCCGCAAAAGCGGTTTTTAATATCCTTCGTGATCGTGCGCGTTGTGCCTGAAAGTGAATAAATTGCACTTTGGTACGATGGAACGCGAGACTAAAGAAAAGTAATTTCCGATCGTACATATGATATCGACATTTAACAGAAACTTTATTAACAGGTACATTCGATGTCCGCAACGACCTCGCAGCCATGGAAATAAACGCAATTTTAGTTGCAGTATTCTCATCCTTTCACAATTATGGTAAAAATAAATTAATGTACCTACGAGTATATTTATTGCACCGGACAAATAAAAACAAAGTGTCGTATTTTGTCGACAAAATAGGATGAAGGACAATATATCTTTGAAAGGTGTTGAAAGATATTTTTAAGAAAGGATATACTATGTATCGAATATAAGAATGTGTCCTTTTCACAAAGAAAGAAGGACGTCTGGTCACGTTACCTATAGATAGAAGAAGTCAACAAGTTACGAACGCAGAAAACAGGTCTCGCTATTAAAAAAGAAACTGATTCTATATGATACCGTGCAATTTACGATGCAGCTGTTGCTTCGCATTTTGCATCGCATTTGGATTCTGGATTTTTCGTCGGTACACGCACTCGCAAAGAAAACTACTAACTCAAATCTTATACTCGTAAAGAACGATTCGTTTCCGTGTGCATCGGAGATGTTCTATGGAGGTGATTCTTTCTCAAGTGAAAGGAAAGAATGGAAGGATCGCGGATCAGGATAGCTAAATCGTGACGTCGCGACCTTTAACCCGTCATGTTTTATCAAGGACTATACCATGTTATGATGCGACCGTACCCGCAGTAAAGGAAAATGACACGGAACATTTACGGCCACGATTCGCCGACGCATTACCGCAGCCTATCTGTCTCGATCGACGAAACGCCGCTGGCTGTTACTCTGTCGGTGCCTCGGGGACCAGCGTACCATACCCTTTTTATATAGCGGATATAACATACCCTCCAGAGATGTTACGTTTAAACGCTCGTTTTTCTTTTCTTTTTTACATTTACTTTGCGTATATTTTTCATTTTCTCGGATGGCAAATATCACGCTGATAAACGAGCCACCGATCGCGTCTCTGAATGTAATAAATCGTACGTGTCCTTTGCAGGGCAGTTTGCGATAAAACTTCCATTATTACAGAGACACATCGTTGGTAAGCTATTAACTTTTTAAAGAAAATGAAGGAAAGGAATTAAGCATTTTACACAGCAAATATATCGTTAATTTTGGCGAACTATTGCAAACTAAAATTATATATAATATAATAAATATGACTCACCACTGATCGCGTGGATCGGGCAAAGATCTGTGCACGGAGATTAAATCACTGACGTACTGATTAAACGCGTTATTGAGCCAGCCATCGTCCACCAGCTTCTTCGTCTGCGCAGACATGTTGGCCGGCAATATCACGGGTCTGCCCATCTCACCCGGTGCAGCAGTATCCGGTTCCCGTGGTATATCCAGCACTCCACCACCTATAGAATCTAAAAACCATCAAAGATCACAGATGAGTGACAACGTATGAAAGGTGTTGGCACGTGATTAAATATTTTATACATTATGTCTATTAATTGTGAATTATATAATCCTTAAATTTATCTCACTGTCAAATTAAGTAGAACTAAGATTAAAATATGTCATTAATTTATTGAATCTTTATTAAAATGTTATAAAAACTATTGTCATATGCCAATTTTCAGAAATGTCATGAAATGTATTTAAATAAGAAATAAAAGTTACATATTGCCCCTGAACAATCCAGGAATATTCCTTTTAAAATAATATCTTGTTCAAAAAATTATGCTTTCGTTTTTCAATTTTATCTCATTTTTCACTCATTGCATTCTCTCTAGCACAGTTCAGAATCAAAATGAAAATTTTTATTGAATAAATTTTCGAGATCAATAATTGGAAAAAGGAAACTGGCGATATCGAATCGATATTATCCTAATAATGACAATGTTAAAAAATTATTACGTTTAAAAGATTAACAATATTTATAAGCGTAAGCTTACGTATATCGCGAAGAGAACTCTCCTAATTGAAGGTAGAACTGCTAATAAATTGAGAAAGGCATTATCACGCTGCTTACGCATCGATGAGATAGAAAGGTAAATGAAGCAATATGATGACCCTGCTCGTATTTTGTCGCGTTCCGGTTTAGTTTCAGCTAATTCTCATTCCGCTTCTCGTTTCGTCTGAATAGCGGGAGTATGATGTTTAACGTCGGTGCGCGAGCAGAAACGGAACGAGGAGAGTCGACGCGGCGAGCGACGGTGGCGACGATGACGACGCGCTGCGCCGAAGAAAAAGGGCATCGGGAATTGAATTTTCAGCACATCCACATCCCCGACGCGCCGGGTCTCGAGGTACACCCTCTAAGAGCTTTCTCGCATAAACTCCGGTTTTATTTGCCGGCGCCATATTGCCGCGGCATAGCTGCTAAAGCCAACGAGGCAAGTACGCCCTGCGATATGGTCGGCTGGCTGGCGCGCCCGACCCGCCTGTCCTGAAAATAATTTTATCCCGGTCGACAAAGTTCGGCCCCGGTGTGTACGATGCGGCAATAAAGAGGACGACAAATTGCTTTAGCGCCGCGACCCGGGCCGCTACGAAGTTCGGCGGTGAAACTCCCGTCGTGCATCACGGCTGCATCGCTGTTACGCTACGAGCTTTTCTTGGAGAGGATCGCCGTCCGCGCCGCCGGGAGATCTCCTTCCCCAGTCCCCTGCGTTCGCGCGATCGAGATGAGAATCATCTCGTTCCTTCTCAGTGTCGGAACACGTATTTACGCCCGTAAAGACATTTAAATTCATTAACACGTCATTCCGGGCGTGCGAGCAGGTTCTCTGCGAATGTGAACTCGTGAGAGGCATCAACCGGTCCGACGCGGCGCGACGCGGCGAGACGACTAAGCATCATTCAGGATCCACATTTACAGATTCCTCTCTAATACATATATCGCGCTGTTCGCTAGCACATGCAACGTCGACAATATCGTCGGGATGATCCATGCATTATGAAAGCTCCATTCGTACTTCGCGTCTGGCAATAAGGGATGAGAGAGAACGTGGCGGGTGAACTACCAAAGATTCCTTATTGCGCCCGTGGCATCGCCCGAGAGAACTTTCGTCTTTGAGGATCCTTCGCGTGTATGTACAATCATACCAAGCTCTGCGTTCTTCTTCTCCGCGCGGTTTGCCTTTATTATTTGCCTGCTTCTCTTATATGCGATCGACACGCAAGGCGCATAAACGATAAAAGCATCGAGTTGAAAGGATTTAAACATTTTTTCAAAATAAATTATTTTTCCGTTTTTTTTTTCTTTCTGTCTGATTAATCGTAAACAAATTAAACTTCCAACGGACAATGTTTGGAGAATTAATTATATAGAATTTCTATATAATTTGTATCTATGACAAAATAAGAAAAAATTTTTGAAATATTGGTGCCAATTTTTAGTGACATTTTAAAATTACTAAAATCTGTAGATTTTATATTCGTGAACTTTATATAGAAATCGAATTACATATAGCGCGTAATTATTAAATGTCATAAGCAATGAAGAAAATGTGTAATGATATGTAATAAATTTTCTCTCATCCACCTTTGAAAAATATTCTCGAAATGTCGGACACAGGTTGAGCCACAGGTGGCTTGCGAAGTAATCAAACATTCTCAGATATGATTCATGCACAGACCGTGCATTCCAAAAGGGACATCTATCAGCTTATTAAGACCTAACTCGCACCTAACGTACGTGTGTGTAGGGTGTCTGCCTATTAAGCCGTTTCCTAACAGACGTGATTCATGTAGCAACTCATAATACACCTACGTCACATCAGCAAACGATAAAGAATACGATTTTAATCACATTTTCAATCTCGGTGCGTGCGGAAAATAAAACGATTGTCTTTTAAACCAAATTTGTGCTCTTTAACTAGGTAACTAAAATAATTTTAGAGAGAGAGAGAGAGAGAGAGAGAGAGAGATGCGAACACGTAACTCTTTGTCTCTCTTCAGCTACATGCAAAACGATCATTTTAATTTACATCACACATTCTTAACAGCCTAACAAATTAAATTAATTTTCTAATGGATTTAAACATGTAAGAAAGAAAGAGAAAAATTACCTTGCTTTGGACCGGCTTGATTGATCTTCGCCCTGTTGTTAATAACATTACCAGTCGACTCTTTTCTAAACGGCGCCGCGGGTAGCACAAAGCCATTCGCCGCTTGTTGCGGCATCGCGACGCCCGACGGTGCCAATCCCTGAACAGCAGCCGCCGCCCGATCCTCCGTATAGAGCAGGAAACAGACGGTCACCCACACGGCGGTTGCCAGTACCGCCACCTTCAGCCACAGCGACCTTCTCCTGGGAAAACCCATTCTTCCGCCACTCTTCGATCCTTCCTTTATGCGCTTGCTGCGATCGACACCTTCCCGTGCTGCGATTATCGTACTTCTCGTGCGGCCTCGAAATGTCGTGTTACCTCAGCAACATCCTCTCGCCCCTCCTCGATCTGCCACCGGTCGGCTCTCGCCGTGTGACGTCGAAAGGTCCGGGCACCTAAGCTAGTTCCTCCTTTCTACGCGATCGAGGACGCTAATTAAACGCCCGGGTAGAGAGAGGAGGTTTACAGGAGACGCGTTCCTTTCACGAGCAATCGCGCTAGGAATTTCACAGCGAGAGCCTCGACTCCTGAGAACGATTCTTTATCCTAATCAAAATGACTGACAATCACTGACGTGCAAAATCGATAACTTTCCTTTCTTTGATAGTACATGTGTTTATCATCCGTTTCAGCGAAGCTATTCTTCACGATTGATCTCTCTCGAGATCTGCTGTTGCGATAGATGTGAGATAAAGTAGATCTCTAATTTTGCACTAGATGTAGTTTGCGATATACCGTGGCAAATGTCTACCTGTTTTTATACAAGGCAGAGTTTTAACAATGTAGTGTGATACGTTTATCAATCGATATGTCGCATTTGGTTCTCCATTACGCCAATGTAGAATGGCGAAATGGTTTCGTATCAATATGAATTAGCGTTGTAGACACTGGATATGATTTTTTATATTTTAATTAATATTTGCATATATGCATTACGATATGTATTTTCGGATCAAGCAGTTTCTCAACGTCACCGCATTCTCAGACCTGCAAAAAAAAAGAACATATTAATGAAGAGAATCTAACTTGGTATATATAACGGCTAAAGTTCTATAAAATATTAAAAGGTTCCAATTCAGACAAGTCTAATCTACTTACGAACTATCTCTTCAAAAAGTACTCGCGTGCTCATTCAAAATTAAAACTTTTACTTAGTTCGTTTAATAATTAGTATAAACCTAGACTATACATACATACATATATATATATATTAAAATTATGCATTAAGTGACAAGTATTGGGGATCATTTTATTTTATATTGGATTATTTTATTTAAGATAACAATTTATATAATTTTTAAAAGTGTATGCAATTAATCGTTTAAAAATGCGGAGTTACGATTCTGCTTGTTCTAATAAAATGAATCCTGAATTACAGCCGCTACAGAAATAATATTATAGTTTAATTTTTGACATGCTAAGTTGGGGCAAGCAATGAAATAAATTTTACCTTCTTGTTATTAATTATTCAAGATTCTGAAGTGTCAAAACTGACGTAATAACGAATATCTACGATATATTTAGTCGAATAGCTTCCGTTTCTTTATTTATTCAATAATTCGTCTGGCAGATTTCGAGCAATTTCGAAACAATTAAATCCGTTTTCTAGAATCACGAATAAATCAAAGATTTTATTGACATCTTGTCTAATTTTATTAATATAATATATTTTTAGACGCGCGCGATGTGTGATCAACTATTATTTATAAAAAAATAAAGTTAAAAATTTATACAATTTTTAAAATATAATTATACATTAAATACAAATAGAAATAAAGATTGCAGATATAATTCGAATCTCTAAAATATAGGTACTCTTTATAATTTATTTATCTTACTAATAAAATAGTATTATATAAGAAGAAATAAGTATGCGGAAATACGATCGATTTGGGAATTTTTCAATTAAGAGAATAATTGTAAATTTATGTGCTCGTTAGATCTACGATCCATAGTTCAGTGTATCTATAACACGTTCTTGCAAGTAACCCGACGCTAAGTAATCGGAAAATACGTGCGTCCCGGGGCTTTATTAACTTTGTATTAAATTAGGAAATTAGGAACTTTTAGTTACGACGCGGTGGTGTGCTTGTAACAATGTTAGAACGGTACCTACGTAGATTTACACATACGAAAGTAACGATGATAACATTCATGATCTCGACGTGTTAGCCATTCGATACCTATTACCAAATGGATCTTTTTTCATCGTAGAAAGTAGTATTAGTCTAGGAACTGACAAAAAAAACAACGAATCAGCGTAAGAATCGACGTTACGATAGTCATCTAATATTATCCATCATTTTCACACGTCGAGCCTACTGTACGGAATGATTATATTGCTGACATGACAAGCGATCGAACGCAGATAAGTGGACACGCGCGTTGCATTATGCGCAACGCATCGCCTCGCGTGGAAAAGTTGGCTGTCACCGTGTGCACGCAATCTCGCAGATTGTGCAAAGTTGTCTGCTCGTATCGGAGAATCGAGAGCTGCATTTGAAAAGATCGAAGTCTGGTGGGATGGTGAGATAACGATGAAAAGACCCCGCCACGGGCACATCTCGAGAGAGATTCGGGGACGGGACGTGAAAAGCTCCGGAAGAAGAAGCTCGCTCGCGTGTGTCACGCTCTTTTCGGGCGCGCCAGAGACGTTTGCTATTCATAGGCAGAGAAAGGTGCATGCACGTTTTAACGTAGCGTTTCGACCGTAACCGTATCGCGCGAGCCGTAAAGATGAGCTGCAGCGGATGCATCGAATGGCGATGCATCGACGGACGTTATGACGGGAAAAGTGCAGTTAAGTCAGCAGCTTTTCATCACCAAGAATGAGCGTCGCTATACTCACGAAAAATTACATCCATTCGTCTTATGAATAACATCGCTCGCAAAGAGAGAGAGAGAGAGAGAGAGAGAGAGAGAGAGAGAGAGAGAGAGAGAGAGAGAGAGAAATTCGTGATGTATACATTTTGGTGAAGTTTAGTTAATCGTGCTGTTGAGACGATATGAACACAATATAACTTATGTGAAACGTACATTTTAATAATGTCTAGCTAATCGCGTTGTTAATTGTTAACGGACATAGTGAAACTCGCAACTTGGTGGATTTTTATCTTACGGAATAAAACTGCGCGTTTCAGATGAGATTTACAACGAGATTATACTGAAGATAGGAGTAATTTAACTTTTTGTAAACATAGATTAGAATCGAGATATCCGCGCGGAACAATCTCACGATATTGCGAAGATATCTTCTCAGCGGTATAAAGTAAGAGGACTTCGCAGATCATACTATCTTCCTCAGACGGCACGAGAGGCCTTCCATTTCTAGTGAGTGGAGGGAACATTGTCTCGAGTAGACACACGTGCGAAAGCAGTGTGTGCTCTGGAGAAACGTTAGTGAGAGAGTAGTCTGGCTCTGCCAGAACCGTACGTAGCAAAGTGGCATGGTCGCTTTTTAGTGGTCGTTACTATCGGAGACACTTTTCCGTAAAAGAGTTTACTACTTCTCGTCTCTAAAATGTTCAGGCCGATGTATCGGTCTGAAAAACCTTCCTTTTCTTTCCTTTACGATCTGGCAGTAAATATACTGTAAGCAGCATAAGTGTGGCATCTCTCCTGTCGCGGCATCTCAACAATAGGAAAAAAAAAGAGATAAGTGCAGAATTTATTTTGCTGCGAAGTAAACTGCTCCAAGATCTCGGAAGTAAGTCTGCCGCTAATGTCGGGCATAAATAAAGAATCAACATAACTAAATGGTAAGAAAGAATGATCACGATATAAAGAAAACGTACAAAACTGCGGGAGGTAGATTTAATTTACTGTAGAATTGAAAATAAAAAGCTTTAAAATAGCAACGAAATTAAATGAGCTCCCTGAATTAAATTGCAGAAACAACTGACACACGCCGTATCGCGTGTTACGGTTTGACTCGAGATTGAAATATTTCTTGAACTACATAAAATATAAGTTTCTCGTTTCCTTCTTCATGTATCTACATATTACATCATTTATATCAAATATCGCTGTGCATAAATAACAAAACTAATTGAAGACATTCTGCAATGGTATCTGAAATAAAAGCGTTTCCTGTGCCGATTTAATAAAAATGTGTTTACGTCTATAAAGAGTCGTAAAGAGCTAAGAGATATGAGAAAAAAAATAATTAAGTTTACCTCTGCCTCTCGAATGCTGACAACACCAGTTGTGTTGCCTAATCTGTGATCAAACGGAATAGATATAAAAAGAGTATACTTGTGATTTCTAAAAGTTTGCTTTCGTAAATTTCGTCATAAGCGCCATCGCCCTTTCGTGTTAATCAAAGTTAGACCGAGCTGCTACTGAGGATAACATCGACCTCGCGTGTCACTGTTTATTTGGGTTAGGTTCTATTTTCGCTACCAGTCTACATATGAGTCCACCACCGACACGAAACGAGAGCACAATAGTTGGACTCTTTGTCCGTCGTTAAACGAATTGCTTAGGTTAGGAAGGTGAGAAACGTCTGGGAAACGCTTGGTACAGGAAAGAGGTGTCAATCAACGTTCGATAGCATCGGCAGCGTGCATATATGTCAACGTGTCACATTTCTGAAGCGAGAAATGTGGATTTATAGATAGGCACAATGATAATTCCGTTTTTCATTCAAGTCACATTTTATCGTTCTCTGTCTAAACATAAACTTCCTTCCTCACAGTTAAAAGCAAAATAACACATTATTATACTCTTCATGCATATGGCTTTTTCTATATTTATTCATCTCTTTATTTTAATTCGGCAACAATACCATGTTTATGTTACAATAATTTCATATTTTCATGGCGTTGAACACATCGCCTGACCTATAAGAGCCCATATCGCAGTTTATCATTGAATAATTTTGACGGTAGGTAAAATCCATCGCGAAAAGCATTCGACGGATTAATCAAATATCGACCGCTAATGGCTGTAGATAGAATTTTGAATTTTTGTTAAAAGCGTTTAAATGTATTCTGCAACTCGATTTTTTTCTAGCGAGTCAGTTAAGACTGAAAAAGTGTACTTCCTTTTCGATAAAAACACAGGAAGCTGTGCTGTGTTTCTGACCACATGGACAAACATCGTCATGTGCGACATCTAAATATTTTTCTATATGCGTTCGAGAAAAATGGAAGAGAAAGCCAGAAAAAGTGCGGACACGTGAGATAAAAGCAGTGGAAAGGATATCCGCAGGATGGGACAACAGGAACGATATCCTACTAGTCTACGTGCGTCCAAACCAGCAAAATAAGCCGATCGGAATCCCTAGCGGCGATACTGTGCGATGCGAGCGTGGGATATGCAATAGCGAGCACAAGGGAAAGGAATCGCTAGAAGACGATTTCTCTTCAAAAGAATTTTAAATCTGCATGAGCCCTCAAACCGATAACACTCGTATTCGAGGTAAGAAAGATTGGAGAAACAATCGGAGAAGAAAAGTACTTCGCTCTTGGTGTACTCTCTTGATACACGATGTATCGCTATCAATATCAAGTCTGTTGATTTAGAAAAGAGTAAACTGCTTTCAGATAAACGGTTTCATAGTCACGCATGCGAAAAAAAAGATAAATCGAGACGATATTCTAGCATTTATAAAGATATCGTTGACAAATAAGTATATATACACAGGGTGTCCAAATTTAATTGTCAAAATTTCAGGAACGTGTAAATAGAATCGATAAATTTAGGAAGTCATTTAGAGATATGCTCTTTTTTGCTTCGTTTTGAAGAAAATCGCAAAAAAAAAGACAAAACGTAGTTTTTATTTTTGTAATTATTTATTACTTATTCATTCATACGTATTTATATGGTCACTTCCTTAATGTAGATATTGTTCAAAATTTAAGCTTTTTTGCAATAATGACTCATCGTTCCGGTATTTTTCTGTTTGAAAATCGACGCGCATACTCTCGCATCGCCTCTGAAGTATTTATTATCGTCGCAGAAATCGTACAAAAAAACAATAATAT